TGCAGCTGAGTTCCGTATTCCCGGGAGGTGCACAGCCTAAAATCTGTAGTCTGGGATTCGGTATGTCATCCAAACATCGATCACCTAAAATGACGAGTAACCAATGATCAACAGCGACAATGAGATTTGTGCATCCCAGGACGAAGTGCCGAGCTCTATTTAAAGCCACAACCACTGCAAGTGCCTCTCCTTCTACAGGCCAATAGCGTAACTCAGCACCTGATGTTAACCGAATGGCAACAAGAGTAACCTTCCATACCGTATTGCAGCAAGTTTGGCTGACAGGCAATCACAGTGTTTTTGCAGTAGCCAGAAGCCCATACCATCTTTACACCAATCAGTGACAAGGCAGGTTGTCCTCGTCTTGTCAAGTATTTCTACGCCCTTTCGGATTTCATCGACATCGATTTTAACTTTTGATTCTTCAAAAAGTGAATCAAGTTCATCAGTCCACTTGAACGGTGTGTCTGGTTTCAGTAGGTTGCAAAACGGTTGCACGTGTTTGGCAGATGCAAACGCAACCTGGTTGACCAACCCGAACCAGCTACGCATGCCGGTGATGTTCAGAGGGGTAGGAAAATCTGCTATGGCCTCAAGGGTTCTGTTGCAAGGACGAACCGTGTAGGGAGCAATTTCAAAGCCAGCGAAATCCACTGTTGGTGATGCAAATTTGAATTTGTTTGGATTTTGAACGATGCCATTGTGACCACATTTGTCAAGCCATTCTACTGATTGAAAAAAATGCTTCCTCAATTGAATCTGACCAAATCAGAGTGTCGTCAACATATTTCGTTTTCTTTGGTATGTCTGATACGATTTCATCAAACCTGCGACTGTATCCATCACCTGAAGCTATGTAGCATTGAGGTGCAACACAGTATCGGTATCGACCCCTGGGGGTGATGAAAGTTGTGTAGTGTCGATTATCCGGATGGAGAGGTACTGCGTGGTAACCATTCCATGCATAAAAAACTGATTTTTGTGTGTTGGGTGGGCATGTGCCTGGTGAAAAGGTGCTTGAGTATGATGCGTTTCTCGGAGACAGTGTTTGTTCAATTTTTGAAGGTCAAAGAATTCAATTACGAATGTAGAACAACATTCGACGCAAACCCCTGGGGTTCAATGAAGCCGTTCCAGGGGTTTGACGAAAGTCCTCTGAAAGATTTGTAATATCGCGAAACCTTCTTATTATCCAGCCTACTAATAATGTAAAATTAGCTATAGTTCACCTCAGCTATTCAAACTCACATGTTTAAAATCTCATAATACTGTGTGTAGCTTTAGTGAACTTTTAACTGACTGTTACACCTTAGATTCGATTCCAGTTACAATTGACCGAAAACACATATCGTCACAGATGCCGTACGCCTTGGTGTAGACTGCTTTCTATTATTGCGCCATTTTGGTCTCTTTGCATGCTTATGGGCACAAAATGTCTTAGAACTTAAGCTGTAATAGCGTATAATTTTGGGCTAAATATTTGCGTGGCTGGGCCCATATTCACAGTCTACCAATAAAAATGTAACTCAAGTCAATGATAGGAACTAAGTGCACACAAATATAAAAGTGATAAATTTGTGGCAAAGAATAATTTATTGCACAGCTTTGCTTAAAATGTCTATGATATCTCTATCTTTGTAAAACGATAGACGATAGCCTTTACCCGCATTCCAATGCAGTTTGAATATTAAGAAGCAATTGAATTGAGCTACTGACGTTTTTGAGGCGACACGGCCGTTCAGTATCTGAGCATATAATCAGGTCGCTAGATTTTACAAAATTTATTTTTCTTTAAATTTGAGTCGCCTAAAAAGGTTGATCTAATGTTTTAAAGTAGGCTACACCACAATGATCCTTTCCATAACTTGCGCACAGTTAGCTTACCCTCATATAGTTCTCATTACGCTTTAGTTCTAACCGTTAATTACGATGGGATTCGACGGGGTCTTGTAAAATAGCGCAGGGGTTTGACAGGCTCGCAAGAGTTAAGAGCCACTGATCTAGTCTAGACTATATGGTTTTGGAAGATACTGTATACTGCGTGAACATTTCCCCAGACACGTCACAAACTGTAAAAATACCTGTTTCTGATGTATGTCCAACAGAAAGCTTCCATATGCAGGATCGAGCTAAGCTTGTCTGAGTATTTCTGCTATGTTTAATTTTATCTATTGCCCAATATAATGGATTTTTTTTCTTCCTGTGATATTTTAAATGATTTTTCTGTTGTACATATTTTCGGTAATTTAACGATACCCCTGGGTTGTTGTAGAGATATGAACTCATTTTTGAGTTGAAATTGTCCGAAGCCTGTTAACGCTCGAAGAAAGTCGTAGTAATATAAGTCTTTACATTATTTGAAAATCATTACTACGACATCTAATGGCAATTCCTTACGTCCGGGTTACAGATTTAATAACGTTTTCATGGATTCACTTATACTATTTTTCACGGATCCACTTGAGAAAACAGCAAATTTTCCTGTTACCAAATTGCAAGCTTGGCCTTTGACTTCTGGTTGAGTTTTTTGATGAATTCATTTTCACTTTCGGATTCAATAAGTTGTAGAACATCATCTTTCATTACTCGTACGTCATCTGCTGTCCTGATGTGAAGCCCATACTTTTATATCTCTGACAATGTGAGTTGTGCAGAAAATATTCTTTATTCTGGGTAAATGTGATTTCAAACTTTTTGTGAGGCCCTTTTCTCGATGTCAAACTAGTGGGATTGAACTTGTGTTTGATAGAGCAATAACCGAAAAAATATTTCGTAGAAAATTCAGATGAGTCTTTTGAAATTTTCATTCATGAATGAGAAAAGCTATAGGACAAATAGTATCAATAATAGAAATCCCCTAGTTGGAAGGTTGTATCATATGCTATAAGATGTGGTGAGCAGGTTCGCTTTGTTAACAAATTGACAAGCATTTTGGTCAAATCTAAAATATCAGACGAGGCAAGATAAACATACAAGTCTGAATATACTGTTAACTGGCGGACGTAGTTCGTTGTATGTGTAGCATATTGTCGTAGACTGATTAATTCGTCCATCGTCAGTTTTCTTATTCTAGATTCTCGGTATTGAATGATTTTGCATTGTTTCCTATTACGTGGTCTACAAGTGGCCATTCTCTCCTGGCCTCTCCCACTCGATTCGGCTTGAAGAGTTTCATAATTTTTTTTAGCTTTAATGTTATGCTGCTCGTTCTGCCGAATGTTTGCCGTTATTGCTTTGGAGATAGGCAAGTAACTTCAAGTGAGGCAACGTACATTGCCGTGTCGCGTATCAACGTGTAAAGTACTACTTCCGATATTCTATAATGTATGAAATATATATATCAGTATTCGTTTTGCGAACCTGACTCAAGCAGCTATAAATCTCTCTATCAAAATCCTTAATTGTAAATTTTCCTTTTTGTTGTCGGATCCTTCAGTTTATAAAATATATCGCCGTGTAGCCTATATGTTCACATTTTTCAATATAAACCGATACTGGTGGCATACAAAATCGTTTTTACATTCTTTGTTTGGAGCTTAAAAAAAATCCATATCCACCTTTCAGTCTCATTTTCGGATTTTGCATTCATTTTCTCATTGCTTATTTCATTTTCTCATTATTGCAAATGATGTGTTTATGAATCAAATTCATTTTACCATTCTATGTTGTTCACTTTTTGATGGATACAGATTCATTCATACCCCTTCTGCTTCAAAAGCAGGGGGTGTGGGTGCCTTCATCAGAAACGACATTACTTATTGTGAAGTTAGTGACTATCAACTCAATTATCCAAATTCTGAAGACTTATGGTTCGAAATTAGCCTAACAAATGTATTCAATAATATGAGCATTGGCATCATTTATAAACATCCGAGAAGTGATATTCCTGAATTTACAAGCATTGTTGAAAACTGCATGTCAAAATTATCTAAAAAACATTTTATAATAGTGGGAGATCTTAATATCAATTTACTCGCATCAAATACCAACACCCAAATTGCATCTTATTCTGATATGCAATGCTATTTCTCTCATTTCAAAGCCTACTAGAGTTACACGTAGCTCTTCCACTCTTATAGACCACATGTATTCAAACATGACAGATGTGCAAGTTAATTCATATGTGATATCATCTGATATCACTGATCATTTTCCCATAATGTGCTGTCTTAAAGGCATTAAACCATCCACTATAAATGATGTCATATTATCAAGGGATATGTCTTCATTCTCTATCGATGAATTTCGGTCAGATATACTACACATAGTTGATGAACGCTTTGTCGCGTTAAACTTGAATTGTCATAATTTTGATAGACTATTTGCAGAATTTTATGCATTCTATTGCTTGCCTAATCAACCGCCATGCCCCATTGAGACCACTGTCACGTCGACAAATAAAGATAAAGCAAAAACCGTGGATAATAAAAAATTACGTGACAGCATCTGTTTAAGACATAAGATGTTCAAATCTCACCACTCATGCGGCAATAGTTCTCAATCCTCATACTATAAAAAATATCGCAATTCACTAACACATGCCATTGAAGATGCCAAACAAATGTATTTTCAAAAATTGATTGCCCAAAACAAAGGCAACCCCAAGTGTACTTGGCGAATTGTTAATCAAATAGCATCTACTAAAAATAAAAAAACCAAAAGTGTTATGAAATTGATTTGAAAATGGCAGAACCATTAAAGATAAGTCCTTGATTGCACAAGAATTCAATAAATATTTTTCCACTGTTGGGTCCAACCTTGGTACTAAATTCTCCAACCGATATGGATGGCTTTAAAATATTTCTAAGCAAGCGTGTAAATCAATCCATATTCTTAAGTCCTGCAACAGTGAATGAACTGACCATGGAAATAGTATGCCTCAATGAGGGTAAAGCGGTTGGCGCTGACAACATTCCCAGTCGTTTCCTTAAGTATGTGGCAGACATCATAGCACCTTGTATAACTGAGTTTTTTAATAATTCACTTCGATTGGGATATTTTCCATCTTCACTGAAAATTGCCAGAGTAATTCCAATCTTCAAATCTGGTTATACAAAACAAATTTCAAATTACAGACCTATATCCATATTATCTGCTGTTGAATAAGGTTTTTGAACGTCTAATTTACAGGAGGCTAATGGACTTCTTTACAAGCACGATGTTATAAATAAATCCACAGTTCGGTTTTCAAAGCAATCACTCCACGTCACATGCCATTTAGATACTATTTCTCATATATATGATAAATTAGAGAGGAAAGAATATGTCAGTGCAACATTTCTCGACCTTAAAAAAGCTTTTGATACTGTCAACCACAAAATTTAATGTATAAGTTGTGGCATTACGGTATTAGGGGGTAGCAAATCAACTCCTTACTAGGTATTTGACAAGTAGAACTCAATATGTTCAAATAGGTACATATTGCTCCTCTGTCTTACCTGTGACCCATGGGGTTCCCCAGGGTTCGTCCTTGGGTCCGGCTCTGTTCTTAATTTATATTAATGATCTTGCATGTAGCTCCACTCTATTTTCCAAATTATTCGCTGACGATACGAACCTTCTCGATAGTGATAAGTCTCATGTTGTGCTTCAATCCAGAGTGAATACTGAAATACAAAAGGTTGCTCATTGGATGGAACTTAACAAACTAACATTAAATGTGGAAATCAAAAACTATGTTGATAACTCCTAAAAAACCAAAACGCATTGATGGTTTAAAAATCCAAATTGGGGGGACTATTCTGGAAAATGTGGAATCGTATAAATATCTTGGTATCGATATTGACAATAAATTGAACTGGGATATTCACATATCCAACATTACCGTTAAATTATCTAAGGCGGTAGGAATGTTGTATAAACTTCGATCATACACCTCAGTGTCAACTTTACGTATGGTTTATTATGCTCTGTTCCAGTCCCATATCCAATATGGCATTGCGGCCTGGGGTTCAGCAAGCAAAATGTTACTGCATCGTATTGAAGTCATGCAAAACAGGGCAATCCGTGCTCTTACACACGCCGGACCTCGGTGCAATTTAGAATCCTACTATTATAAGATGAAAATACTTAAAAATGCAGATATTTATAAAACTGAAGTGCTGAAAATTATGCACCAACATCATAATAAAAAACTGCCGGCTGCATTCTCCGGCTATTTTGTTAAGCAAAGCGTCATTCACTCTCATGCAACTCGGTCTTCTGCCAATAGCTCATATTATATGACTCGCTATTCATCTAGCCGCACACAAAATTCCATTAAGTTCATTGGTATAAAACTTTGGAATATGCTTCCAGTTACCATACGCTCTAAGAACTATAATACATTTAAAAAAGAATTAAAAAATCACTACCTCAATGCTTATAACATCCAGTAGTCTAATTCACTGGTCATCAATCCTGTATTTGATGACAATTTTGCTGAATGTGATGTTTTTCTTATTTGTTCATATCATTCATTTCCAGTGTTATTGAATATTTTCACTATTCTTCCACAAGCTACGTTACCCCAAATCTCTTCGCCGTGTACTTAACCTCTCGTATTGTGATTCTGTTGCCCAAACTTCATTATGTATTTATACCTCCAAAACTAATTCCCTTATTATGGTTTGCTGGGAATTCCCCGTAATTTATCTCCGCAAGGCAGCGTCATGTCAATCAGAAGCCCGACAGCTGTGACGGTGCCGACCCGAGCATGACGCTGACGATTTGAGCATTTTTCCCCTCCTGACGCGCTCTTGTTTTTCTCTCGTTTCTCATGATTATCTTCGATTTAACTATTTTCTCCTAACTGACTTCCCCAATTCGACTTACATTTTCCAAATTGTGTTCATTCAAAAAATATATATGTTTAAATCCTGTTTATTTAACTTCATCTGCTGCTGTTTACAGCTATTTAGGTGTCGCTGACACGTTAACTTTATAGTTTATTCGCGACTCCTCGTCTATTGCAGTCGAATTATTGTACGTCTGTTATTTCTTCTCTCGATTTATTTTTACTGTTTATTTGTACAATATTTCTTGCATGACGGAAATAAATATCTGAATCTGAATCCGTAGGGTCTATTGTTGCGTAACAGAAGAGCTGCAATTTCGTAGACTGCACTTTATTCATTTGCTGAACCATAGATTCTTGTCTCTGGCTGAACCGAGATTATCGAACATGGGTGATGTTTTAGCATTTTAAAGAAAAACCAGGCAGGGATAAGAAATAAAAGTTAACCTTTGCCTTTATTCATTAGGCCTACATGTTTATAAAACTCAAAAGGCATAAAGTACACATTAACGACGACAAATATATTTTTTTTTTTGAGGCACCATAATTTTGTGTAGGTGCGCCGTGAGTTTCCCTGATAATTTAGCGTCGCACAATCCGCTGCCTTATGCTAAATTTGATCAATAAGAGCGAGTAACAATTCCGGATAAGAACCATGCCGTCGGTTGCCAGACATCGTAATTCATCATTTAGGCCTGAATAAACAAACATTGAGCCACGGCTGGACTTGTTATGCAGCAAAAAGCATTCACACCCATTAACCTGAGTAAACATGTGCTTGTTTTTGTTATTGAGTAGGCCTACTAAAAGTTGAGAATTAGCTGTGTCAATAAAATATTAAAAATGCATATTTCGAACTGTTTAGCATTACGTGAACAAGGGCCGCGAAAAATTTTAATTTATGAAAAGGGGCCGCGATCTCAAAAGTTTGGGAAGCCCTGGACTAGAGGACTTATTATAAGGGGAGGGCTTATATTAGAATCATTTTAAAAATCCAGGCTAGGTCTTATTTTCGGGAAAACACGGTATGTTCAATTGATCTCATTTTGGTTTTCATGTCTGCGTTTCCATTTTCCCTTTAACGAGTCTCGATGAAAAATTTCAGACATTCGAAATCGGAAAAATCACATTTTGATACATTATTCTGCCAAACCTTCAATTTCATTTTAAAAGACTCAAACTTGCTACTAGCTCCAAAAAATATCACCTCTCCTCTCGATAATTTTAACTGATTTGTGATTTCAAATATTGCTGTTACATAAGACAATTTTGCAAGTCAAAAAATATCTTGAAAACTAGCAGCCATCCAAAGTTTTTCTTGGGTTAGAAGCATATCGTGTGATAGTGTGTACCATACAGCATTCGGTACGGTACACCCCTGGTTTATCCTATCGACGTGGTACACCCTCCAAACTTTTTGGTACACCCTGGGGTGTACTATACACCCGGTTGACGAGCACTGCTCTATATTAAACCCGACGCATCGTGTTAGTTCTGCAAGTGTCACTGTTAAGGATTTTCGGTATCTATCCACACAAATTACTGTAGTGTAGATACATTTCTCATTTAGTTCTAATATCCGTTTTATCATACTTGAACTTTGTGTAGCCAAATATGAAACTGATTGGTATCGCCATATTATTGTATAAAACGTACATTCTGCTTAGAAATTTACGCGCTCTTGTCGACAGCTCTCTTCCACATCACCAGTAAAAAAAATCGGCGTTACAGAAGTGTGTGTACCAATATCGCCTACTTTACATCAATGTGTGTAAAGGGACTGAAGCCTGTGGGCAGGGGGCTTATTCACTTGGCTGACACAAACAGTCCCCGAACTCGTAATAGAACTAAAATAAGATACGGTAATTGAAATAAAATTATAGCCTAACCCTGACCTGGTACACACACTACGGAAGTACCAAAAAATCTCCCGTATTTCGCAATCGCAATATAATATTACGGAGTATAAAAGCGAGAACTTTTGTTGTGACGCGGTATTATCGAAATGAATCCCATTTCTTGATGCGCAGTTCTTACCACTTCATGGCAGCTCCTGCCACGATTGTACCGACTCTTGCCATGGTTTTATCGCGCTATTATCGCCTTTACCGGTATATTCACAAAGTCATGTACAATATTTTAGTTTATCGTGCGGAATTATATCTACTTAAACCTAACCCCAAATACATCAAAACTGTATTCACAAGAAAAGCGTTCCAACTTACCCAATATTTATTACCATCAGGGGCAGCCCTGCTATTACAATCACAGCCGACATGCCGTGGTAACGGCAGCAAAATTGGTGGTATTCGATTTGTAGCGGCTAAGCGGCCATGGTTTTGCGGCAGCTCTAGACGCCACAAAATACTTGAAACTGCACTTGCGTTTCTTCGATGTGACGCAAAGTGACTATAAAGACTTTATACTTATAGTCATTTTGGCTGTGACGTTAACTCTTTTATGACAAGTAAAACAAGTTTCTCTTACCGGTACCACTCTACTGCAGCTGATAAATTTGCGAAAATTTTAGCTAAATACGACAAGCACAGTTTGGAGTTAGTCAAAATTTTGATGATTGCTAAAAGTACCGTACCGTAGGTATAACTATAGCAGTACTGCAGTAGGGCAATTTTATAGGAAAACAAAAGCGATATTCTTGTGTGCATGCATACAGTTTGCGGTAGTGCAGTTTCGATGGCTTTTAAATTTTGCGAAACAAATTTCTGAATTTATATCTTAATTGATTCAAGAATCTTGCTGCACACTAACATAAATATATTTCTGTATAAGTATAAGTTTATTTCGACTCCATAATCAGCAATAGACGATAAAAAAATAGATAAAAACAAAAGTAAAAGTAACTGATTATAGAATCGGGAAAGCGAACAAAACCTAGAGTACCGTAAGGTTTGAAACGTACAGATGTTAGATGGAAAGGTATTGATAAAAGAAGTAGTACGTGTTCGCTCACCCAAAAGTAAAAAAAAAACTAATTAAGGCACGCACGCACACACACACACACACAATCATCGAGACATGATACTGTCGGAAGCGAAAAAAGCGAGACTTGAAAGTAAAAAGGAAGGAAAATATACAAACAAATAAAAAAAATGAATAAATTCTTTTGCCACACCAAATTAATAATTTTATGAGTAACGTTACGTCTGACCAATGTCAGACTTCTTCGAACATACATAGGCCTAGTTCATCAGCAGTTGCATGCATATTTAAACAATCAGTGTACTGGTGTAAAAGTATGGGAGTTACGCATGTTAAATAATCAATAAGCAATTGTATTCTAGGTTTTAACTTATTTAAGCCAAAGATGGTTTTCAATTTCATAATGCTGTAATGTAAAGAAACGTGTTGTTTTACTGCAAAATTGTTTAATGAAGTTGAACACAATGTCGACATCTGCCAAAATTGTAAATGGTAGAACTTCATCAAGTATGCCATTACTAAGTGCAGAAGAATCAAATGTTGACAATCAGAATCTCGAAGGATCTTCTAGTGTGAGTGGAAGCTCATTGAATAGTGATAATAATTCAGCTGGAGAAGATGCTTCCAGAAGTAGTCAAAGAACTGAAACTGAAAACAATGAAAAAGATCTTTCAATTTTACAAGGAGTTGTTTTACTTGAAGATGCAATTTATTATCGGAGTATTCATCACAGGATGGACGCCTTTTCGATTCGTTTGTATCGCTGGTACCATTCGTCTCCGGTGAAATGGTCAATTTATGCTGTTATATTTTTTCTTCTTTTTCTTGCATTTTTGGAAGAACCCTCTTCACTAGTTTGGTCAACTGATCCTCGACAGCAACTCACAAGGTGATAATTTTATGATGTCAAAAAGATATATATATAATTGTATATAGGCTACTATCAACATTTATACCTATAGATCTGTAGATCGACTTAATAATGTATCCTGAATCGAAAATTGTATATACAGATATTTGTTAATCAAAATAACACAACTTTTAATAACAAAGAATTCAAGTTGTTAGAACGTTCATATTTGCCACCACAAATTTTGCCTTGAATGCTGTTAACCCATAAAATTAATTTTTATTCATTTTATGCCCTAATCAGTTTTTTTATTTCTATGAGCGGATAATTCAACATCAAATGAATAATCACCGGTTAAAAAGTTGACATTTAATGCAATAAATTTTCGCTAAGACTTACTTTTGCTTATGTATTTCATATGTTTCATAGATACACATTTCCTGCTGGATTATTGGAAGGAGTTGAGTTTGCTTGTTTGTTAATGTTGCTGACATCAACGATTATACAATCTTATCTTGCTGCAGATATGCAAAACAAACGAGACTTCCCAAAGAAGCAGCCATGGTTAACAGGGAGTTTCATTGTGGTGTTTTTGGCGCTTACAGATATCATTATATCACTGGCTCTCGGAAATAATGTTTATAGGTAAGCAAAAAATGCTTTACCGTGAATCGAATATTTGTATACATTTAAGATACTCTATTTCCCACTACATTTTAATTGTTTTAACTAGTTGGAATTAAAGTCCCACTATTCAACAGATGACAGTTTTATATTGGAACTTATAATAACTTCCTTCATTGCATTGCCCTTAGTACAATGGAAAAATTTAGGTCATAAATTCAGTTTTTTGAATGCTATCATTTTGGTAATAATATAAAAGTTCAGCCTTCAACAAAAAAGAAATAATATTCTTGATTTCATGAATATTATGATTTTGTTTGAAATGTGTATTAAAAATACTGATATTGAAATCCGATATATGTGCATAGAGTTGAAATAATTATGAGCTTTTATGTACTTATTCAATTAAGAAGCAAGAGCTGATGTTCAATTTCTTTGTTGTGTCCTTCTGTCTAATATAGCTGTGGTATAATATCAACTACGTGACTTACCGGTATTGTATTTGTTAGCAAACACAGCCTGTCATTTATTTACAATGTACAATCAGTGATTTAGATTCACAGTGGGCCTACATACAGATTATGCTTGATAAAAGTTTAATGTTTGTTAGTTCATGTTGTAATGATTGAACTTTGTGTCAAGTTTGCATCGGTTTATCCTTATTTTTTTCGCAACTGCCTCACTAATGATTTATTGCTCCATCCAGAAAACGTTTTGACATTCAGTTCTTAATAAATGATGAATAACATTGTCAAACCTTTCTTCACACACTTATGCAAAAATTAAATTTTTTTTTTCACTTGTAATGAATGTGGCCAAGACATCACTAAGAAAAATACTGCCCGCGAATTAATATGATTATTAGTGTTTGACAACAGATTTGTTCAAGTACCAAAACTTTTTTTGCCATGAGAAACAATGGTAATTTGTTATAATTTTAATTCTTTCTTATCCATTCCAAAATACCCAAAATATTAACAAAACGTGTACCTAAACAACAATAATTATTTTCAATGTGTTCATATACTTAATGGAATATAGAAATGCTAAAATGGAAACATAAATAAAATTCATGTAAATAAATATATTTATGTAAATATCTTTGCATAGTTGAAAAAAGTAACACCGAAATATTTTTTCTGTTTAGATGGAGATTTCGACGACTTTTACGTCCATATTTCTTGGCAGGAAGTTCAACAATGTTAAAAAAAACACTGAAATGCATACGAAACACATTGCCTGAAATAGCATCTGTTTTAACTTTGTTACTTTTACATGTTTACTTTTTTATGATGCTGGGAATGTTGTGCTTCCCAAGGGTGAGTATAATAGTAATCCATTTATTTCATCTGATTTTGATAATAAATCTTGGCAAAAGCATTTTTTCCATTAGAATAATACCAAATTCTGCGGGTTGTCTTATTTTGAATTGTTGGTGATTCTAAATTAGGCCCTCCAGAAGTGTGTGTACCAATATGGATATAACTATTTCTGTTCGCCTACTTTACATCAAGTTGTGTAAAGGGACTGAAACCCATGGGCAAGGGGTGTATTCAGTTGGCTAACACAGACAATTCCCGAACTCCTAATAGAACTAAAATAAGGAAAATCGGAATAAAATTATGCCCTGACCCTAACCTGGTAAACACACTACAAGAGTACCCCAAATTACATACAATGAGAACTTAGTCGTAGTCATGAATGGCCAAAACCGAATAATTTAGTATTCCAAATATATTCTGGAATGGAAATGTTCCACAAGTGAAATTCTACAAGACTATTGTCTATCATAGAATAAAAAATGCTCAAAAAAGAAATCTTTAAATCAAAATTCTAAATTATTCCTAAAATTAATAAATGACTAAATTGAATATATAACCAATATCAAATGTATTCGAATATTTAATTCGTTTGGGACATTCCTGGTTTCACCTCATATTTATTTCACCACTAAGTTATTCAAACCTCTTGCATGTTATTCAACAGGGGGGTCACAGAAGTGTTGGGAATGAGACACACAGTGAATTAAACAATACAGAATGGAGGGAGTATTTTAGATCGATCGATACTGCATTCATGTCATTACTTGTGTTGTTAACAACAGCCAACAACCCAGATGTTATGATGCCGTCTTATTCAGATAACAGGTGGGTATGTATGATGTTATAACAAAAGTATTCTTACATCTCCCATATCGATTTGATTTTATAAGTACTGGTAATAAATATGGATTTCAGTATTTATTCTTGTGGATTTCAAGGATGTTTGCCCTATATTGTATGTCATATTTTATGTAGGTATGGTTGGTGGTCATATTGAATAAATAGTAAAAATAAAAACATATAGGCTACTGTATTATGTTTGCAAATTGCAATGTATAAGAGCCTAATGTCAGTATGTGTAACCTAAGGTTGCCAAATTGGACATTGAAACAATAGTAAATAATTTTCCAAATTATTTTTAATCATTATTATGAAGAGTTTGAATGTCTTGGAGGAAATAGTGTTTTTTTTGTGTCATTTTCAATTTGATTTCCTCAGGTGTATATTTGGTAAAAATACAAGCCATCAAATTATGTTGAAAATTGATTTGTTATTCTGCAATTAATTCTGTGTTGATCACCGGTAACGCAACACTACTCTCAAATATTTAACATAATAAATTTTTTATTTGCAGGCTTTATGCAATTTATTTTATTGTGTTCTCTCTTATTGGAACATATCTCATTTTCAATCTTCTTACTGCTGTTGTTTATAACCAATTCCGTGGGTATTTTCAGAACTCGATGCAGGTAAAGTAACCTTAATCTTCTTGTTTTTTGTGACTGAATATTTTCCAGTAAATTTATCATAAATTTCCATATCAGTATTTTGTGGTCACTAGTAGTAAGTAATATTAGGTACTTTTTTCTTCATTGTTAGATAAGTTTATTTTGACTTCATATCAGCATACAAGGCGATAAAATGATTGATAAAAAGAAATAAAAACTGATTATGAAATGAGGAGAGTAAACAAAACCTCGGATAAGGTTTAATAAAAATTACAGAATATAAGATGGAAGGTTTTGCCAAAAAGAAATGGTACTTGTTTACTCACCTATAATTATTGAATCAATTCACATGCACGTACATAACCACAGGGCTGTAATAAAGTTAGAAAAAAGAGAGAAGCTTTAGATAAATTATATAGTGAACAAAACAAAAAAATAAGTAAAAAAGTAATTAGATTAAAAAATAAGAATTGTAATAAAAAATAAGAACTGTTTGCCACACCATTTTAATAATTTTATGAAAGTTACCAAATTGAATACAGATTTTGTAAACAAGAGTGATCAGTATTTAATATACTATAAGTACAAAAAAAAAGGTTCTGCGAAGCTGATTATAGTTGGAGTCAAATGCAAAATTACCTGAGAACTGCGTTCATGAATGAAGCAGTACTCATTTTGCATGCACTATAATCCAATTTCTTACTCATGTGAGTGATTGATGATGCATCTGTGTTTTTTATGTGCCTTCCTGTGTTTCCTGGTTTTTGGTATTTTATAGTATTGAAAGCTCACAGGATATTATGTCTGAGCTTTTAACTGACGTTGACTTCTTTCTTGTTCCTGTTTAGGAACTTCACATCAATGCTATGACAAGCTTTAAATAGCTGTTTTGATGAAATGAGCAAAAAAATATATCTTTTTAAACTTTAACTCCTCCTAGACTTATAAATCCTTTTATATCTTTGTAATATTTTCATATGAAAATTTTTCGAAATTTTGTCATTTGCGCTTTTTTATTGAAACCTTCAACTTCTGTTTATGTAGGAAATGAATCGCCCTGCTTTTTCTTACGCTGGAAAACTTTATTTTAAAAGTTTATTAATAGTATGTTTAGGCCTAATTTTGTTTAAATAAATTGATTTGATGGTCTGTGCCCTATAGAAGTCGTCATCAATCTATATCAAATACACCCACTTTCCAATGTATTTGAATATTAGATTCATATTGGACATCCCTGTATGAGAACTTGTTAAAAAGTTGGCAATTATTCAATAAAAAATATTTTTATTTTTTAGTCAAGTCACTCAAGGCGCTGTGTTGCATTTTCTGCTGCTTATGTGGTGTTATCAGACAGTGAACTTCATGGAACAACAGACTCGGTAGAAGACGACGAACCTTCTACTTTGATGGATCATGATAACATGAGGTAGGAATTTTTTTTTTTAAATTTTTCATGAATTCTGGAAATTCGGATTTTGAAGAAACTGTGACTGTTTGTTTTATACTTCCGTAGTACCAGGTTATGGTTAGGCCATGATTTTTTTCCGATTTTCTTTTTTTTAGTTCTATTACAAGTTCGGGGACTGTCTGTGTTAGCCAAGTGAATATGCCCCCTGCACATAGGTTTCAGTCTGTTTACACAACTCTATGTAAAATAGGCGAACAAAATTAGTTATCTCCATATTGGTCACATACTTCTGGAGCGTCATTTGTTTTTAATTGACCTATTCAAATATCAAATGACTTTAAATGTGGGTGGTGATATTATGATTAATGGCATTTATTAATGATTCACCACTGAAACGCAGTAGGTATTTTGCATTTTAAAGGTACAAAAAATTTATTCAAATTAGTTAGCTAGATTTATCTCTGGTATTTAAAAAATGTCGATTGTAATCGATAATGCTTAAAACTCACTTTTAAAATACCAGAATACGCGTCCGCCGATAACTTAGGTACATGCAGTTAAATGTCGGTCAAATATATTTCATTCATATTTAATAATTGTTTACATATTTTTTCTATAATTGTTCATGTTGTGGTTGTTTTTTATTTGACTTTTCCATAACATAAAATTTATTTGTGACCAATTTTCCTTTTTCCTGCGAATTTGTTCCAAATAATCAGCTAGCTATTGATTGATGCATTCTATCACTTGTTTTTTGATCTAATGATCATAATTTTCATTTTTTCAGTCATTTATACTTTTTGGAAATCTGAAAGCCTATGTCATTTGGAACAGATGCCAAAGAGAACATAGGCTTTATGCATAACCTACTAGATTACTGAAAGTTTGAGTTCCATCATAAAAAAACATGAGTACTATTCATTTTTGTAAGAGTAATTAAAAAAATTATGGTTTTTGTTTGCTTTAATAGAATAGTTCTTTGTTTTCCAGCACTGTAAGTATGACAAAGTTGAAGAAAGTTCTATCTCAAGTTTCAATGCGACCTGAACAACGCACAGCAGTCCATCACAATATATTGAATCTGGGTTCTGATTTAGAGAGAATTAATAAGGTCGATTTTCATCAAGTGTTCAGCAATATTGATTCTCTTGTAACTTCTGAAGTTTTACGAGTTGCATCAATGGGTAAATATAGTTTATGTCATTAAACTATATCGCCAAGGTTTGATATTTGGCTACTCCCGTAGTGTGTGTTCCAAGTTTGTTTAAATGTGTTCAAATCAATATATGTGAATCACTACTTTAATAATATTGAAATTTGCTAGATTATATGGATGACTTTGCGGTTTGATTATTCTCGAATTAAAATTTTCTTGCAACAAAATCATTATTGATACTTGTAGCACGATGGCCTAGTGCAGGGGTCGGCAGCCTTTTGTCGCTCGCGGGCCAAAATTACGGGTTGCAAGTCTTGGCGTGTCGCACATATTTTTAAAAAGGTAATCCGATGGCCGATGAATCACAATTTATTCACACCAATCAGACTTGAAACTTGAAATTTTAAGCAGCGTGCGAAGACTGCGACAACTCGTGAACTCAAAAAAATTTACACTTTTTGTTGCATCAGGTTCATTGAACGAGTAATTGTGAATTATATGCTTGTTAGGTTATGATATAATTTAACCTACACATGTCTCACAATAAATTCTGTTACGTAAAGAATATAGTCGTCAAAATAGCCGTGCTGTTACTATAATTCAGTGAAGCGTCGTGAGCCGGATTATTTTACTCCGCGGGCCATAGGTTACCGACCTCTAGCCTAGTGGCTAATGCGATAGACCCAACTGTGTTGGCATTGCGTAATGGACATCTCTGATTAAAATCCCACGCCCACCATCTGTAATGCTTCAGGTAGGCAATTATGGCCTGGACTTTTATCAAATTTAATCTTTAAAAATTTCTCCATTAGGGATGGGCAATATAGAATAATTTACTATTCTAGAATAGTTAAATCGAATCCAGAATACCGAATCCTATTCTATTTTCATACTTATTCAAATAGTAGGAATTTCCACATTGCTAGATTTTGATGTTGAAAATTGTAAATGTATTACTATAAATGTATTATTTATTTGGAAGTGTCCTGACCATTGGATTTCATTTGATACTAAACAGGCATTTTCCAAGACAATAAAATTTAAGAATATTACAATATTTTTTGCCTTCAATCGTTCCAAATGTATGTAATCTCTAAATACTGATATCCTAAATTATGACACGCTTTAAATACAAAACGTACGGTACGTTAAATACAAAGAAAGAAACGAAACGGCGTTAAATCATTTATTTATTAATGTTAGTCTGCCGAGTGTACTAAAACATACCCGCTGAGAATTAATTAGATGCAGGACCAGCGTGTGGCCACTGCAACTTATGCGGCGTTGTAAAATATTAAATTTAACCACTATCAATTGAAATCAACTTTTCATACTGTGCGAGAAAGACTCGTAAAACCAAGTTTCCTTAAACGATTTCGTACTTAGTTATTAGGTAATAACATCTAAAGAAGAATTCATTTCCTATGATTATTGTAAATATCATTATCTACCCAGACTTGGCCCTACTCAAACTCAATAAGCCACTATCTTTGCCAGATGCGGCAACTTTTTTGAAATTTATTGGCACTTAAATACTACAGACACTCGATCAAACGAGCGTCTATCTTGAACGATAAAAACCAACCAAAAATATGTAATCTTTTGAGAGTGAAAATTTTTTTTTTTGTGGCTTATGCAACAGTAGGTCCAGTCATTGCCATTGTTTTGAAATTACTTATTGACGTAGGTCCAGTCATTGCCATTGTTTTGAAATTACTTATTGACAACTGATACCTTGCAATTTTTTATTGAATTTTGTAGCTCATTGTTCAGGCTTGATCTCTAACTATTTTTATTTCAAAATTCTACTTTGTTTGAATTCATTTTTCAAATAATTTTTCAACAGAAATGTCAGATAGAACATGTCGGAAAAGAGTTCAAGTTCTTGTTCTACATCCTGCATTCAATATTATTGGCAACATAATGGTCTTGTTAAATGCAATTCTGGTCACTGTCGAAATTGCAATTCATTATGAAATAGCCTTTCGAGAAGTTTTCAGTCGACTCAATGTAGTAAATTATATTTTTGCAGGTAATAATCTTTTCTGACCAATTCAGGAAGCATGAGTGGGAGGTTGGATTTGTTTTTATATGGAATATTCAAGCTAGTAACCCATTCATATTTATTGTCACAATGGCGTAGTTTTTGGGAAGGGACGTCATTAGGCATTTTATAAAATCGGGAAATATTGCTGTGGTCATTGCTTGCTATAATTATAAAATGTAAATCATTGTCTCGGCGTTTGGCGCATCATGCTAAGGTTTAGGATGCTTGACATTTCACCTCTGATTACTGTGTGTGGGTTCGCTGGTTTGAATCCTGTGGGGATGATTATTTGCATGAGAATTTCTGGACAAATGATTGTTCACATAACCGCTGGTCGATTATGTCTTTCTCCACCATCGAGACCATGCATCTGAAACGAATAATTGACCAACACAAACTGATCCCATATCTGACATGGAATGGTAACTGGATGAGAGGCCGTAGTACGCCATATGATTAAGCTGTCTTATCATCTTTTCTCTCCCCGGAATAATTATGAAAATCCTATCCTATTGGTATTATGGTTATTTATGTGTTTTTTGATAAAGGCTGAAATATTTCTTTACAGCATTTTATTTAGTTGAACAAAGTTTGAAAGTAATTGCTCTTGGAAAAAGATATTTTTTAACTTTAAGTGATGTTTATGATGGAATGATCACATTGGCTTTAATCATTGTTGAAACAATACAACTCGCAAGATATGGAGGGAAGTAAGTTGTACAATCATATATTTATGGTTTATAACGCAATAGCAGGAAAGAACACAGCACATTTGCTTTGTTACATCAATAATCAACATTATATATGTTGATCTTATTACAGTATATCAAATGTTTATATCAAATTTTATACTAAAATTAATTAAATGGCTCAAAATAATTTTCAACTATCACATTTTATGTTTTTTCTATTTTGTGATAGGCTTTGTATAAGCAGTAACTTACTGGATTTGTAAATAACTGTAGTCTTTCCATCAGCCATAGCCTGCCCTATTTCTCACAACTTGATGCAGTAGAGAATTATGACAAGTTGACAACAGATAGTTATTTTTTTTTCATTTTGCAGGCCCGATGCAATAATAGTTACTGGAATATCGTTATGGGATTTAGCAAGAATTATCAACATCTTGGTTATATTGAGGTTACTAAGAATCATTCCAAACTTCAAACCAATGGCTGTTGTTACAACAACTCTGCTTGAAATTATGAGAAATCTCTCCTCATTCGCTGGAGTTCTAGCAATCATTTATTATATATTTGCAATCATTGGAATGATATTTTTTGAAGGAAAAACTGATCCGCTGACACCACCTGCTGTTAACAGTGAGTTACTTCTTTTTTTAGTGAATATTCATGTAATTTATAACTGAAGAGGAATTTTTCATAAATCTCATTGCTCTGAATTTTTGTTCTGCTATTTCTTTTTTCTGTTAAATACTTTGAAATATTTTGGCTTGTTGATACGTTTGAAAAATAAGCATATTTAATGTCTGACAAATATATATTTCAGATTCGAATTCAACATTTCATCATCTTGCCCAACCTGATCATTTCAAATGTGGAACGTTTGAACAGCTCCAATATTGGGCTAACAATTTTAATGACTTTGCCTCTTCATTGGTGAGTGAAATCTATTTTCATAGGACTTTAATAAAAATGGTTACCAAAGCGGCAGATGTTGGTATAAGTTTGTCAATTTCTGAATTTCATCTATTGCACCATAGCTTCATTGGAAATGCACCAAGTGGAGTAAAGAGAATATTATGATGTTGTAATCAACATATCCCCTTGTCCCGAACGAATGAGTAGGAGAGCTCCATATCACTTTTTCCAGGTGCAATTAGGTTCATGGAATCTAGTAGCCCCACAACACCAAAATGCTAGTAAACACCACTCAGCTGTGTGGCGCATCATGCTAAGCGTTAGGAATACGCTCGCCACCGCAACTTTGATCACTTTGTGCCTTGTGGGTTCGAATCCCATGCGGGATGGTTATGTGCGAGGGGTTTGCTGGACTCCTCGCAGTAGGGTGGTTCACGTAACCGCTGGCTGGTTACGGCTTCCTCCACCTTCAAGTCCATGCTTCTGAAAACAATGAACTGGCTAACTAATCTCATACCCGACATGGACTGGCAACCAGACGAGAGGCTGGGGTCCACCATATGATTGAGCCGTCTTATCGGCTTTTCTCTCTCCCAGGATAAATATGTAAATCCCATCCTATCACAGTATTCTTACTGTTTCTTGAGACTAAATATCCAGCTACTATTGTTTGTAAGTGCCTCCACAGTTTTTCTATTATTTAAACTGTACATTTTGAAAATTTTTATGTTTATTGTGGTTGAAAAAAGTGAGTTTATGCTTAAATCATTTTCAGGTTGTTTTATGGGATGTTATGGTTGTCAATAACTGGGGTGTCTTTTTGGATATGTATACTCGTCGTGTCGGAGAATGGTCACAATTATATTTCATTATATGGTGGATTGTATCTGTTGTTATATCAGTCAATCTATTCATCGCTCTGATTTTGGATCATTTTATAGCGAAATGGGACAGGTAAGCAGCATACAACTTTTTTTTAAATAACGTTGGATAATATTAGAAAAACAAATCTTCAACATAACCATAGAGATAGTTAAGATATAAATATTTAATACGCAATATTACAGACATTTTTATTTATCTGTACTTCATCCATAATTAGGGTACATGAAGCTCATCACCTACAACGTCTTGGGAGACGGGGCACAGTGCAAGCTCTGTTCCTTTCAAGTATGCATGATCCTTCACCATCAGAAATAAACAAAGAACTATTGAAGCACCCATATTTAAGATGGCACGTTTCATCACCATCATGATAAAAATATGGCTGTTGTCACTAAACTGACTGCACTTGATAAGATAAAATCTCTTGTTGCTTATATGTATAGATTAAAAGCTTTTATCCATTTTGTCACTGTTACTTGTATTTTTATCTCCATTTTGGATTTTATTGATCTATCATTGAAGTTTCATCTTTTCATCTTAGATGATTTTATTTACCTTCTTCGATATATAAATCATTTTGGTCCCGTTTGATCTATTAGTTAAAATCCGGCTGTAAGCTCGAAACAGATCATGATAGTAGTAATTTCTTGAATTACATTGAAGATTGTTTTTAAAAAATTTCTGAATATTCGCTTAGGAAAAATATAATTATAAATATATATAATTATAAATAATTATATTTTCAGTGGTGTGGGAAACCACCAACCAAGTCAAACTCTTCATCTCAAGAGGCTTTCAATTTAAGTTATGCTATTTTAATTTCAATTTTAATAATCGAACCTTTGATGTGTGTTTCACCAAGTTTTCTCCATTACTAAACCGACTTTTTATGAAAAAGTATTGTCTACTTTTTATCTTTTCTTCTGAACACTGCATTATTATTTCTTGCCACTGAAGTTTTGTAACACTTTGTCATATTTGTCAATGGTTTTGTTTGTAGGAATTTAAAATTGGTATTCAAGTTTTTATTAGAGTTTACTATATAAAATAATAGATTTTATTGGGAATACTTGACCAGTTTTGTTTTGTAGATCACTTTATTTTCCTTTCTGAATTTAGCTTGTGATATGCTAACAAAAGCTTCCAGCATATGAAGTTTGAACTAAACAGCATAATTTGCCATTGTACATTTTGTTCTACATTGTCCATTTTCACTTTTATAATCAGGTGTTGACAAATCGCTAGTTCTACCTCTGGCCAAATATTGGTATATTCACAAAAACCACAGTCACCGATGATAATTTTTCTAAATTGAACTGATCTCTATATAATTTTTTTTTGTTTTAATTTTATTTGCATATTAATTTAGCTTTGCCACTTGTCATGGAAATACTGTTATTTCTTTCAATTGTTCTTTTTTTGAGTGTGCCCCAAACAATTATCTCATACCATATATCAATAAGGCAAGAGTTATTCTGGTCAATACTGTTAACAAACTAGCTGTTTTGAATTTAACAAAAACTATGATTTTTGGAAATATCATCATGATTTGCTGTTGCTGCGTAACACAATACCATTGACGATTTTTCTGCAATAAATTTGCTTTGTAACTTCGCGGAGCAGCTTTATAAAAATGTGTTTCTTGACAATGTACTTGGTCTTATTTTTTTAGTCAATTATTGCATAACCACAAATTAATTAATGTATTGGCTGGTGCATTTACACTCCTAGTATGTCATTATTCACACCCCACTTTTTATCGGTTTCGCTATTTATGGCGACAATGACTACAGGAAGAAGTAATTTATTTCTATGTAATTGTGTTCTGTGTTTGCAGGTATATCAACATTTTGAGTTTTATGAAAACTTTATTGTAATATGACAAGATTTTACATCGTTTCATTCAGAACATATATTTGAAAAGTTATGAATAGAAGGTAATAGTTCAACTTCGTTGGTTTATCTTTTTATAATTTGTATGATTTTATTAGTTTTTATTGTCCTCTGAAACTGACATTTTGTTGTATGATAATTAAAGAGACTCAGAAATGGTGATCTCATTTTTATTCAAATTATAGTTGTTATGGTTATTAAAGCTCGTAAAGACTACTTTAATATGTTTTCCATGTTTACAATATTGGACGTGATTTCCACTGCATCCGAATCTATTTCGGTGGTAAATTCGCCACAAAACATGCTACCCACACCCTTTTCGTGAAACTTGGAAGCAGAAACCCGGTCTAGTATAGCACCACAAGTACTTCCAGTGGGCATAGCATAACGAATTATGTTTTTTCTAACCCCCACCTGACTATGCCATCCAAAAATTACGTCACCATCACGTCATAGGTCTTGCCAAAGTATAATTACGATCGCCCGAAATGCATCTGCGCCACCGATAACGAACTCGCTAACGCCGACGATCTCTCTCCTATCGTGATTGTTGTGACGAGAAAACGAGAGAAATAGCTTGCTCGATTTCGGGTGATCGGGCTGCGCGTTTTTGACGACCATCCGCATACTTTGGTGGGCCTTATTACGCCACTGTGAATTTTTCGGTGATGTAGTCAGGTAGGGGTTAGGATTGACATATGCAAAAATTGTTGACCCAGGGCAACTTGAAGTGCATGTGGTACCAAACGATACCAGACCCGAGAAACAAACTAAAATTACAACACGATTGACAAAATTTATCATTTTGCATTTATCGGCAATGCCCCGGTTGTTTTTTCGGTATAATAAAAAATATTCGAAAAATACCTCAATATCGGTTGCACAGACTGTTTACACTAGCCATATTATCCCGACATGGTTCATTTTTCGCTCGCAAAGCCTTCGCCGAACGTCGACGGGGCGACGCCGATTTTGCCCCGGTTGCTCACTGTATATCGTATTCTCTCTTTTATCTTCCACTCGCCGCGTTTGTCTCGTTTGTTTTCTGTTTCTTTTACTAAATCATCGGGGCTAGCCCCGAAATTATGACGACACAATGCCGACGTTTCTTACAACAACGTGTTGACATATTCACGCATTCCTTCTCGTTCGTTGGTTGCTTAGAAAAGGCTGATGCCCAGACTCTTACAAAAATACTTAATCCTGAATACCTCAACCAAATTTTTCTTGAGTCAACCAATACTGACACTGAAGAATTCATCAACATAGACAGTGTTTTCATGTACAATAGCTCAAATCAGTATATTTGGCTGCTCCAGTGATGTCAATGACCTTAAATTCAATGATAGTCTAAAACTAAGTGGCTTCATGACTCTTTCAATCAATATCCGATCTTTAGCCTCCTTCAAAAACTACACAAAATTTGAAGCACTAGTAAATTCACTGAATTGTAAGCCACATGTAATTGCTATAAATGAAACATGGATTGTATCTGATACAAATGGCCACTTCAATGCATTGGATGGATATGTTTTCATCTCTAATAGTAGATCTCATCACCGAGGTGGTGGTGTTGGTCTGTACATTCGAAATGACCTGAAATACATTGTCCGTAAGGATCTCACTATCATGTGTGAGAAGGTTTTTGAATCCATATTTATTGACATATCATTAGAAAATAAAACAATAACCTGCGGTACTATATATAGATCACCACTAACTGATTAATTGAACAATGCTAACTTTAGACATCTTTTGTCCCAAGTTCTCTCACAGATGAACAGGTCGAATAATAATTATATATTGGGTGATTTCAACTATAATCTTATTGATGAGTCCAATATGAATACCAGCCTATTTGTTGATATTATGCACAGTCTGGCCTATTATTCTCTGATAAACTGTCCCACCAGGATAACTTCAAGTTCTGCTACCTGTATAGACCACATCTGGACAAACGTATATGATAAAAAAATTAACAGTGCTGTTTTAGCAGAACGTATTTCTGATCATTTGCCAATTGTGCAATGCTCTCTCCCAGAAAAACAAATCCAAAACAGAATTGAAACACTTCGTCGCCAATTTACTTCGTCCAACCAATGACATTAAACAACATGATAGGCAACTCTGACGTCACTCCATAAGACTACACGCGAAAGATTGTATTTCATGATACGCTCCAATGCACATATTTCTCGTCGCCTTTCGCGACGGTTTTCCGATTGCTTTTGCTACTCGGCGTCTTCTTTACGTGTAGTACCTGCCTTTTTGCGCCTGTAACGAAAGAAAATAATCTCTATATCTGAGAAGTTTTGCTCATTTGGAAAGCTGGAATGGCAGACAAGCTGTAAAGAGTAATTCTGAACATCATAGACGTTTTTTTTTTATCAGAGAATATTACAAACGCGATAGCGTAAAGATTTGTATGAAACATTTTGCAGATAATGACAAAGTTCAAAGTTAGTAATTTTAATGTTTGCGCTTAAACATTGAAATTTCATTTAAAGAGGTTTTGTCATACAAAACAGCAAAACTGTTTTTACTTCTCTTAAAGGTGCTGTGATACAATTCCATAACACAAAGTTTGCACCTATCGAACTTGTTTTAGTAGGTGAATTTATTAGACATATTACATATTCAGTTAATCGTAGGTAACATTACTGGTACATAATGCCTCGTAGATAGGTTTGTGTCTAAATTTAGCTCATAGCCCGCTAATTAATATTATCTTCTATGCAGGAGATTGCAGGGCTGATTCAACTTGCAGCCTTACCAATCACCTGACGATGCTCATTTAGTTTGTCTCGAGCAAGTCTTCTTGAAAGACTTGTGTGAATGGAAACTACCTATATGTTGTGCCTTCCTCCGATTTTAGAAGACAAATTCAATCTGAGGAATTTTGCATATAATTCTCATTGATTGTTGGCTGTTTATAATTCCTATTAAATGTGAATTCTGATTATATCAAAGAGGTAATTTACGGGCACTTTTTTCTTGTCAATACTCCAAGCTGAGGTAATAAGCAAGACAATACATTCATGTCATCTGCAAGCAAAATATACACACTAATTAAAAGTTTGACACATTGAGATAATACATCATGACAGAAAATACAAAGATACAGTATGTATGACCATCACATGGTAATTAAAATTAAAAAAAAAATAATAGAGGCTGTGGAGTATGGAAAGTTCAAGACAAAGAAAAGAACAAAAGTTCATAGCTCATGAACTCTCAATTCTGCCTCCATTGCTTTGTGAAGGCCAATATATTCCGAGTGGCTGAATTGGTTACCTTTATGATAGCAACGGTTTTGTATTTAATATAGCGAGATTTTTTTTCAATTTAATTGAAGTGATATTATTTCCCAAAGCAATGCTTGAATCGTCTAGAATAGATCAGTGGTGTCAAACTCATGGGTTTCGAGAGCCGCATTGCATGTTGGAAATTGTAAAAAGAGCCGCAAACAGTTTTTGATAATGTATACTCGAGAGATATTTTTCAGATAGTTTTAGTTTGTGACATATATTGTGATGCAACTAATCAGTTGGATTAAGTTTCATTATTTTCTTTAATTTCAAATGCAATTACATATTAATATTTGCATTCCACTATTATTGCAAGTTACTGTATAAAATTTAATGTACAACCATCAAAATCATTTTTGAACAAGCCTTGGTTAAGGAACGAATAATATATACACTAAAAATGACTTAATCTAAATATATGAACCTAAAATTAACAAAAATACTACAGTATAAACTCAATGTTTTTTAATTACATTTGTCCTGACGTTTGGCATCTTCTTTGTGTCACCAGCATACCAAGGCCAGGCTGAAATGATTTTATAGTACCAACTCTAACTAACGAGGTCACATGATCATGGGTTAATCTGTATCTTTGCAAAAGTTTAATTAATTCCAGTAATGCAAAAAAGTTACTTTTATCATTTCATGTATAGATCAGTAAAAAAACAAATGACAGATTTTTTCGACAAGACATTTCACGCTACATTGCATGGCATAGGATTGCTTGAATTATTATTGATATTGATTTTTAGTAACTAAGTCGTTGTATATTTATATTAATATACAAACACATGAAAATTTTCTGTTCGGAGTTGGTCTTCGAATTTGTCATATTGACTGCTGAGCTTATTGTGTTTTTCATTGTACTGATGGAAATATGACAAATTAAACAATGTGCTTCAGAATTTTGTGAAATGCAGAAATATTGCAACTCCCATTTTCTTCGAAAATGCCACCTTCTTCGTGTACTTTAATTTATTCACTCAAGTGTTTTATTCAGTATTCTTTTGCTAGCTTGATGTGTATTCTTACTTGAGTCAAAATGTGAACAAAAAAATATTAACTTTCTAAAACTACTTTCAGTAAATTGTTTTCTGAGTGAATATTCAATTTCACTTTAAAAGGTTTGAAAAATCTTTTACATTTAAATAAAAAAAATTCCAAAATACTATTACAATTATTGTTAAGCGTTCGAGGGCCGCACTGGAAGTTCTCTGGGGCCGCGAGTTTGACATCCCTGGTCTAGATTGAAGTTGTCCAAAATATATAACATTATTTTATCATGAATCATGATTATACCCTTTTCTGAATTTCTTCTATAGTACTACCAAAATTTGATGAACCAAATATAACACAGGTGTAGTCAGTGAACCGTAATCCTCATTTTTCAAAGCTGTTTTAAGTATGTCTGGCATATTTTGTGCCTTTTTACAAAGAAGACTGCTTATGCAATCTTACGCTTTGGAATTTTTAGTTATTTCCCTCAAGCCCTGCAGGATGTAGGGGCCATACACAACTTTACCGGAGGGTCAAATGTCTTTGCATTCCTCCATAGGTTGTTCTTCTATTGCAAACATTTATGGAGTATTCTAATCATATTTCTTGGAATCAAACTGTCACTGATATGTCGCCAGACTTCTGATATCGCCCCTTCAGCTACAGTTGTCCTGTGAATAAATAATAGGAAATTGAGGTTAGACGAATAGTTGAAAGTTTTGTTTTATGTCGGCCTAATTTCTTGATTGATATACTCACTATTATTGCTATTGCCTCTTGTGCTGCAGGAGTCTCACAATGCTTAGACAGGTCTGTCCACAACTTTCACATCTGTAGGAGAGGAGATGTATTAATTTT